CTCCCCATGTCCCCCCTTGCCTCCCATTTCTCCTCATGTCTCCTCATTTCTCCCCATGCCTCCCCATTTCTCCCCATCCCTCCTCATTTCTCCCCATCTCTCCCCATTTCTCCCCACACAAACGAGTCCCAACCACTACCAACCATCCCCAACCGCTCTTTCTTGACTCTCATGTGTGCAGGAGCAGCAGTGGGTGTGGCAGCACTCCTCTGTTGGCAGAACAGCAGGAGACAGCGAGGCAGGGCAATGGTATCCCAACCACCCCTAACCGTCCCCAACCACTCCCAACCTATTCCCATGTGTGCAGGAGCAGGGGTGGGTGTGGCAGCACGCTCCTGTGATGGCAGCCCAGCAGGAGACAGACAAACAGGAGAGCAGCAGCTGAGGAGAGGGCAGGGAGGCAACCACCCTCAACCACTCCCAACCACTCCTGTTTGACTCTCGTGTGTGCAGGAGCAAGAATGGGTTTGGCAGCGCGCGCCTTTGCTTACAGACCTACATGAGACGGAGAGAGAAGGGAGCAGCAGAGGGGAGGGCAGGGAGACTACGGGGGAGGCGGAAACAGGTGCAGCAGCGGAAGCAGCAGCGGCGGCAGAGGCAACAGCAAGGAGAGGAGGAGGCGGAAGAGGGGAGGAGGAGAAGGTGGGGGAGAATGGAGAGGAAGGGGCAGGAGAGGTAGAGAGGGCGCTTGTCATTGTGCATGGCGTTCCATTCACCGAGAAGAGAAGTGAGTGATCGAGTGAGTGAGCGAGGGAGGCTGTTTGTGAGCGAGTGAGAGTGTTGAGTTGGCTCAGAAGTCTCCCTGTTTATGGCGCTTGGCATGGTGCATGAGGTCTTTTGAGACGCCTCAACAGGCAGGGGGGGTAGAGAGGGCGCTTGGCATTGTGCATGGCGTTCCATTCACCGAGAAGAGAAGTGAGTGAGTGATAATGAGAGAGTGAGAGCGAGTGAGACTGTTGAATTGAGTCAAAAGGCAGGGGAGGTAGAGTGGGCGCTTGGCATTGTGCATGGCGTTCCTTTCACTGAGAAGAGAAGTGAGTGAGGGAGTGAGACTGTTGAATAAACTTAAAAGTCACCCTGTATTGGGCGCTGGCCGTTATGGGTGCTCGCTTGGCATGGTGCATGGTGTCTTTTGAGGCGCCTCAAAATGCAGGGGAGGTGGAGAGGGCGCTTGGCATTGTGCATGGCGTTCCATTCACCGAGAAGAGAAGTGAGTGAATGGGAGTGTGTGAGTGGAATCATTTGTGCTTTGAGACGCCTCAAAAGGTGATCCACTAGCCATCTGGTAGAGTGTGTTGGGTATCATGCATGGTATCTTTTGAGTGATCCCAAGGTGAATTCAAAGTGATCCTAAGGTGATCCCTAAGTGATCCTCCTAAGGTGATCTTAAAGTGATCCTAAGGTGATCCAAAAGTGATCCCAAGGTGATTCAAAGGTGATCCAAAGGTGATCCCAATGTTATTTTTAAGGTGATACCGAATTGATCCGAAGGCGTGATCTGAAGGTGATCCCAAGGTGATCCTAAGATGATCCCAAATTTATCTCAAGGTGATCCCAAGTTGGTCCGAAGGTGATCCCAAGGTGGTTCGAAGGGATCAACAATGCTTGTGGGGCCGCGGCTTGTGGGGTGTGGATGTGACGTGATAAAAGAAGTGGATTAGCAGAAACAGCTGCAGCAGCAGATGCAACAAATACCAAGTCACAAGCAGAAGGAACGGAGAAGAATGCAAAGCGAAGCCTAGAGGTGGGAACGCATCCAGAACGGTTGAGTGTGGTGCAGCATGGCTGCTGCTTGTCGGGTGTGGATGTTTGGCGGTGCAGCGGTGGTAGAAGAAGGGACAGGAGCGGCAGGAGCAACAACAGCAGAAGAAGCAGTGGCACCAACAGCACCTGCAGAAGCATCGATGCAGCGTGGTAAAACAGAGAAGCAGCAGGAGGAGCAGCAGGATCAACCGAAGCAGAAGCGAAAGTGGAAGCAGTAGAAAGAAGAGGAGTAGCCGCTGCTTTGCAAGATCATCAAGGCAATTTCCACGAAGCCACAAGGTGCATTCTAAGGCGGAATCTGCACCTGTTTTGGGTCGACTCAAAACTCGACTAGTTTTGGCAAAGCCACAAGGTGCATTCAAGGTGGGGTAGGCACCAAAGGAAGTGCAAGAAAGGGCAGCGTGACAAGCAGCACATGCCAGAACACCAGCAGACATGCTATTTGCATGTGCTATTTGATTTATTCTCCTGGCCTAGATGTGCCTTCTCCAGGCAGATTTCACTAATTATCTCACTTATCAGTGTCTATCAGATCTGCTGGTAGAACCCTTCACCAGATACCAGCCGTTGCCTTATGCAAACAAACTCGATAATTTAACGTTACCTGAACATGCCTCCATCCAAAGCACTGATCCAGGCACCACTTCGCATTCACGTTATTTTGTGAGCACCTTCTTGTTTGTACCGTATATCTGCTAGTGACCAGCTGTATACCAGCCCATTATCGTTTTACACTCAATATAATGTTCTATGTATCCTTCTATTAGGGCGGAGAGTATGTCCGAATGCGGTTGAAAAGGGTTTGAAGCTGATATGGTCGGTTTGGTTGATATAGTTGAGAAGAAAACGACATTGTTGTCATTGTCAGGGCGCGTAAATTTTGATACTTTTGGACAGAATCACACCCTGCTTCGAACCCTTTGAACGTGGTTCAAGCTGACTTGTGTACGGTGGATCGAGCCAGTACTTGAATTTGTCAAAGCCGTTGTTTCAACACGCGTAAATTGCCTCGCAAGTTCGACTGTGAACAGTCAAACTGCCTTCCGTATGCAAGGTCGTTTCCCAAACGTAACAGGTAACGGTTACTACTTCTACGAAAACAATCAAACCTGGAATTAACTGCCCAACGCAAACCCGAACAACAGTGCCCACGCCCTTAGAGCGTGTTACACCCAAGCAAAGATTGCTGAGTTTGAGGATCACGTAGGCGATCCTTACAGAACAGTGTCATACCTACCACTGTACAGTAATCACTGTGTCAGGTGATGTACCAACAGAGGAAGGATCGAAATCACGAGAGATCGTGATACCCGATCTTGGTGTTTTTTGGGAGATCGTGGTGACTGCCAATCTCTCGGTGATCCTTGCATCTTTGTACCAAAGACAAGGTGATCCTTGATGCAGTGTAACACGCTCTTATGCAGTGGAAAGAAAGCGATGCTGCAAAGCAGGAAGGAACTTCCTCAAGGATTAGTGGTCTGAAAGATATTTTGGCACTTTCAGAGTGGCACAATCCATTTTTATGAACAAGTGGCGCATTAAACTCCTACGTGTAAACACAATCAACAACTTGAAGTCCGGTGGGTCTGGAGGGGGTATCTCACACGTGTCTGTAAATTTACTGGATGCAGTATTTCCTCGTTCCTGACTTTGCAGAAGCTTCGAAAGCACACTGAACAAAATGAGGCGGGACAATAATTTCCTTCATCTCAATGTGTGGACGAATGCCGAGGCGCTTGACGTAGGGCTGTGACGACGGAACTTTGATGGAGCAGAATGCACGAGCAATCGCTGCCCCTACGTGGCTCCCCCCAGGCCGATGAGCATGATGCTAAATTTAGCCAGTTTTTGATTCTCCTTGCTTCAGATGAGCGGCCGTGGAGCTGCCCGCGCGTTTTGATACCCATGAGACGAGGGGCCTGTCGAGTCGCGTCAACACGTGCAAACAGTTAAGTTGTTATGATGATTGTCATTATTGAGTATTCTGCTGGTGCTACCGATCTTCTGGAATAACAAATACGTTAAAAGTTTGGTTGCTTACGTAAGTACCCCCTTCTAGCAAAGAACTGCATACGTTCGCTTACCTAAAATCCTCCTGAAAGCTTTTCGAACCTGGCACATTCTGCGGGATGTGACAAATTCAAACTAAAACTGGTGCGAATATAGCATCAACTGCTCCCTAGTGGAAGGAAATTCTCCTTACAGTCAGTGACGACAATACTTTGTGTGGGTGTCGAGCCAGTCATAGGGGGAGTGACGAAACACGTGCTACAGTTAAACAGCATCAACAAGCATGCAGGCGCTGCCCAACCAGCTCAAATGACTGGATGGGAATGGAGGGAAAATCGACCAAGGCAGTTGGCTGGAGACACGATAGGCTGTGGGTAAGAATCTCGCCTGACCTTCTGCGCGAGGGGATTCAGGGAACGGACGGTCGACATGGCACCGCTTGGATTCGCACCACGCTCACGGGATCACCCGACTGGTTCACCATGGGCAGCGGGAGGGGAGCGAGGGGAACCACTGGACATCCGACGCGGAAATCTCTCGCCGAGCGCGAGATCTCTGAGGCAACAGCCCACCCCAAGCCCACTCTCTTCCCCCCTCATTTCCTTGTGCCCCTTTTCCCTCACTCTCGGTCCCCCTCTCTCTCTCACCCGCTCCGCGCCCACTCCATCCTCATTCCTAGATCAATCCTAAACAAATTTTCCTCCCCGCATTCCCTCTCCGCATTCATTTCTAATGAACCCCCGTTCCTCCCTCCGATTATTGTTTATTGCTGTCTGTCTGCTACAGTCTGCCTTCGCACAACTGAATTGCTGACTGCTGACTCGCTATGGATATTTCACGCAGCGCGTCCTTCGCGTTGTGAAGGTGTTGGTTTAAAACCCTCACTTCAAACGTAGACAGGGGTTGGCGAAATTGACGGATAGCTTTTCAGAGTAAAACTACCGCATTACTAGGCAGGACCAGCATTCCACGCCTCGTAATTTACGTCTGGACGTTTCTAGGTCCAAGCGCGAACCCGCTACAGTAGGACTCTCTATAAGTAGACAGTCGCGTTCACAACGATGGCATCGACGTTTCAAGCTTCTTCAGTATTTCATCCAGCCAGACCCGCCAGCGATAGCCGTATCCAACCCGCACATTCCGGCGCACTTCCCGGCGCGAATCCCGCCGCCATTTCCGCTCTGGACCGCCGGCCAAGCTGCAGCCGTGTACTGGCTGACGTGGAAATGGCGGCGCTGGAGGGCAAGCTGGCTCTGCTCGAGTCGCAGCGGCAGCTCAGCGCCGTTAAGTGCCGCATCTTCGTCGACATGATGGAGTCAACTATTCAGTGTGCCGAGGAGTCCACTATTGAGAAATACGCAACGTATGCTCAGAGGGACGCCCGTTTGAGTTTGGATTTGCCTGAGTACGCACCCTATGCGGAGAGAAACACCGGTTTGGCACGGACGCTATCATCGTCAGGCGCGAAGCAGCATGCGGCGTGCGAAAGAATGCGCGCTACGAACAGCAACAGCAGCAGCGGCGGCGGCGGCGGCGGCGACAGCGGTAGCAGTGGTGACGGGCGGAGGGCGTACGAGCCTGCCGCGGCGAGTCTCGGCGGCTCGTATCGGCGGAGGTCCATCGACGTGCCGCCGGTGTCGTCAGCAGCGGCGCGCTGCGCGTCGTGGCGGGAAGATATGATCTTCTACGCCCCGAGTGGCAGCCGCACTGGAAGCCCCGCCCGCCCCCTTTCCCGTCGCCGCAGCGGCACCTTCCGTGCGCCTGCTCCTTCCCGCGGAGCTCCGGATGCCGCCAGCGCCGAAGCGCTTACCCGCGATGTGTATCAGTACGATTTGCCTCGTGACGGTGAGACTCGGCGCTCAGCGGCCGCGGCGCGGCGATCGTTTCAGACGACTCGGGGGTACGAGGATCGCTGCGCCGTGGATTCCTCCGGGCTGAGCGGGCCTCACTGGCCTGCCAGTCATCGGAGTCAACCGGATTTGCGAAGTCAAGCGAGTCTGCGAAGTCAACGGCTGTCGCAGAGAGATCTCGTTTCGGCGTCAGACGAATGCAATTGGCTAGCAGAACCGTCGCTGCCTTCGCGTGCGGCAACGGAACCCGCATCCAACAACTGCGCTCGCTCCACGTCATCATCGTCGTTCATCGTGCCGTCCGCCTTCTCATCTTCCAACTCTATCGCCACCACTGCTCCTCTCTTCGACTCATCCTTGGAGACAGGCTCTTCCCGCTCGTCGTCCCCCGCTTCCGCGTCGTCCGCTTCCCCCTCCAGCCCCGAAGCTTCCGCCCGCCTCTGCTCCCCCTGGACCAAGGGTCCCTTCGAACAGCTTACGCCCGTTTCCGTTGCAGCTGCGCCTGGTAATCCGCTGTTTCCCGCGGCTGGCGCGGGTTCTGGTCCATCCGCCCCTCATTCTGCGCATGAGCCAATCCCAAGTGCTCCGAGCGACAAAGAAGGAACGACCAAGTCGCGGGGAGGTTCCTGGCGCCGGCGCGCACAACCGAAAGTGGAGGAGCGCGCGGAGAAAGCAGTCGAGGCGCAGGAGAAGGTCGCGGCGAAAGTTGCACCTGCAGCGCAAGAGGGGAAGCCCTCAACGCAGCGCGATAGACGACGAATGAGTGTGGGAGGATTCGCGAGCAGCCTGTTGGGTGATTTACGGTACAAATAAATTCTTTACTTGTTCCAATAACGGGGCAGTGCATCACTCTTTCCCACAACATGCTGTTCGTCATATACGACAACACGTCAACGCCAGCTGCACCAACCGTGTATCCGAATTACCCTAAGAGACAATTCAGGCTGCATTGAGGCTACACTGATGTTCAGCCGATTCTTTTATAGAGGGGCGTTGTGCATTACACAAGGAAATTGTACTCCACCCCATCCGTATGTTATCAGATCATCATTCTCCCATCCATTCGCAATTCCAAAATCCTACACCTCTATTCAAAAAAAGTAATTAACATAGGAAATAGATCCAAACATGGTACTATCATTGCTGCACAGCAAATGAATTGCAACCAGACACTCCTACCACACCATCTAGTTAGGGTTTCTACAACTTGCCATCAAAGCATGTTGAGTCCCTCAGATACCAATACACCCAGCAGACGTAGTACACTTGGGATTGGGAGACTGGAAGCGTTGGCCCCGCTTGCACATATTGCCGACGCCACTCGCGAACATGAGATTGAAATGGTCATTTGCTGTTACATGGTAAGTGTAGGTTCCCGATTTCGATGCTTTCTTGAGCGTCGTAGTGGCCTTGCTGGTCTTGCACTGTGCCCAGTACTTGGCTTGGGCGAAAGTTGTCGGATCCGTGACATCAATTTTAAACTGACGGATATCAGAGCGCTGGGTCCACTTGAAGACTGCGAGGAGGGCAGGGATGAAGGGGGACAAGCAGGGAGGGAGGAGGATAGGTACGGAGAGGGGGAGAAGCAGGGGGACAGGGAACAGATGGAGGAATCTTGCACTGGGCCCAGTACTTGGCTTGGATGAATGTTGTCGGATCCATAACGTTTATGATGAACTGACGGATATCCACTTGAAGACTGCAGGATGGAAAGCAGGGAGCGGGCAGGGGGAGGGGGACAAGCAGAGGGGGCAGAGAAGGGTGAAGGGTGCAGAGGGGGAGTAGTGAAAAGGGGGCGAGAGTGGAGGAAGGGAAGGGCCAGGTTGAGGAAGCTCAGCTGGTCTTGACAGAGGGCTATCGCAAAATCTTCAAGGCGTCTTAAAAAAATGTCTGAAGTCATCAGAGGCAACAGCTCATTTTTAGAGGAATCAATGAAGAGGTTAAGGGCAACAGAGGGCGCGGCGGCAGCGGCGGCGGCTGCGGCGGCAGCGGCAGCAGCAGGAGGCAGCAGCAACGGTGGGGGCATACTAAGGGGGTCAGGGGGGGGTAGGGGAAGAGGATGTCTATTGATCATGCCCGCTTCTCCCTTTTCTTTCTCGTTCCTTCTCTATTTTTTCCTCGTCTCCCTCTCCTCCTCTTGCTCCTTCTCCCTCTCTCCGTCTCTTCTTTCTTGTTCCCTCTTCCATCTGTTCTTTCCCTCTTCTCTCTCCTTGCGCCCTTGCTCCTGCACTGCACTCAGCCTCTCTGCATCGCACTCACCCAGCTTGTCGCCAAATTCAACAGAAAGGCACTCCCACTCAATCGTCAGCAGAACCCACGGAGAACGCACTAACCTGTCTGCACCGCACTCAGCCTTCCAGCACCACACGCACACAGCTTGTCGCCCACTTCAACGGGCCCCACGGCGAAACATGCACAACCTGTTCGCACCGCACTCAACCAGATTGTCAACCGTTTCAATTGGCGGGCACTTCCATTTACTTGTCAGCGGGCCCCACGGCGGCACCACGGCCTGTTTGCATCGCTTTCAGCCTCTCCACACCGCACTCAGCCTCTCCGCACCGTTCTCAGCCTCTCTACACCGCTCTCAGCCTCTGCACTGCACTCACCCAGCTTGTCGCCCGTTTCAATCGGCGGGCACTTCCACTTTATCGTCAGCGGGCCCCACGGCGGCAACAATACCCGTCAGCCTGTTCGCATCGCTTTCAGCCTCTCTCCACCGCACTCAGCCTCTCTGCACCGCCACTCACCGAGCTTGTCGCCCGTTTCAATGGGGGGGCATTTCCACTTAATCGTTAGCGGGCCCCACGGCGACAACCTATAAGGCCCGCCCACTTGAATCGTCTTGGCCTGCAGCGCGCGGATGGATAGAGGCGAGAGGAGGAAACATGGGGGAAGAAGAGGAGGTGGGAGAGACAACATGAGACTTCCGGCGACAGCCTATAAGGCCGGCCGAATTGAATCGTCTTCGCCTCTCAGAGCCCGGATGGATGAGGGCGAGGGGAGAAAACACGAGCAAGAGAGGGAAACATTGCTGAGAGAAGGAAACACAGGGCGAGAGAATGACGTGGGAGAGACAACATGAGACTCCCAGCGACAACCTGTAAGGCCCGCCCACGAGAAATTTCTTCGCCTGTCAACGCGCGCGTGAATGGAGGCGAGGGTAGGAAACACGGGGGAGAGAAGGAGGTGTGAGACACAACATTAGACCCCCGGGAAAACATCATCGGCCCGCGCACGTACATCTTCTTCCACTGACGGCACGGGTATGGACATGGGCGGGAGGTAGGCGAGAAAGAGAGAGAGGACACAAGAGAGACGTGGAAAAGTGTATGAGAGAGGGCTTGCGGAAAATAAAAAAGAGTGGACCAATTCTTCCTCGGAGGCAACCTCACGCGGCCATGGCGAGAAATCTACAGCGTGTGACGCGGAAAGCGGTACGATGTCGAAGAGTGCTCCGCGCAAACCCTCGTTAGCGCAATTTCTGCTCCTCCGCGCGTACAGTCGTCCGCGAACACTAGCCCGTGCCCAACGTCCGTCCGTCCGTCCGTACGCATGCACGCACGCACGCACGTACGTACGCGCGTTGGCCCGTGCCCTGCGTACATCTCCCTGTCCCGTACGCTCTTCCTTAATCCGCGAGCCGTGGGCCTAGTGGTGGCGCGACATGGATCAAACGGTCAGGAATCGAACAGCTAGAGTCGCACGGCCAGGATCGCACAAGCGCTCAATCAATCTAGAATAAAAAGGAGGAGCCGGTTCTTGAGACGTATCAGAACCCTGGGCCGTGTGGTTGCTGCTGTCCGATTCGCGCTAGCGCTGTTTTTTAGGAGCCTAAAAACTACATAGCTGGTTCGAGCTGAACTCTCGCTCTGTGGAAGAGGCGAAAGAAAAAAGCGAAAGAAAAAGCTGCAAGGCGACAGGTTTGTTTGTTGCTGTCACCCGGACTTGTGCGACGGCTGGCGACGAGGCGAGAGAGAGCAGCAGCAGACGAGACGGGTTTCGAGACGTTTCAAAAAGAAGGAAAGAAAGGAAAAAGAAAGGAAAAAGAAGCGGCAAGGTGAGAGATAGGTAGTTGCTGTCACCTGGACATGTGCGACGGCTGGCGACGAGGCGAGAGAGAGCAGCCGCGGGCGAGGCGGGAGATCGCGACCGAATGCGAATGCGAGGTTGCGACGGGAACGCGACGGTCGACGGGCGAAGTGCGACAGCGACGGGCGATTGGAGACAGGGAAAATAGAATGGAAAAGTAGAATGTACAGGCAAGGAAGGCAAGAAAATAAATAGGGAGCAGATTTTGTATGAGGGAAGAGCCGTGGTGGTGATTGAAACAGTGGCGCCTAGGTATGACGCCGCTACATAACCATAAACGAGACGTGCTTTAGCGGGGACGAAAACAGTCGCAAGGAGAATATGAGACAGAAGATAAGCAAGAGAGGAGGCAAGGAGAGGCGCGCACTTGAGAGCAGGAGGACGCAAGCAGTTGCTAGTAAGGCCAGAGAAACGCGGCGTGTGGCCATGGCTGGAGACGCGCAACCAAGGGGCTTTCGACTATCGGCTGATCAATAGTGAGGAGAGGGCAAAGGGGTAACTAAAACGGGCTACGGTAAAATGGCGCGAGACACGAAAACAAAACGGAGGAAGAAATGCAGGAGGCCGAGGCAAAACTGTGTTCCTTGTGCTCTGAGTGAGGCTTGTCGAAGCATGAACTTGGGATGGATTGGTTGTTGGCAGGAGTACGAGTGCTTTTAGCGGGGTTGATTGATTGGTTGATCCGTAGCTTTGTCCAGTGTCGCGGAAGAAAGTGATAGGCGCGAGGAGCGGGCAGGGTGGTGAGGGTTGGTGCAACACGTACTCGGTCTCGCTCTATATGTGTACAGGTGATTTCGCTTAGCTAAAATAAGGAATCACTTCGTTTGGAAGCCATGTGTGTTGGAAGAGTACAAAAAACGCTCTTAATGAAAGCTGCAACCCCTTTCAGTGAATGGAGATAAGGCCCTACAAACCGAAGGGCTACACCTTGGGATGCCGACGTGCCACACCGTCACCGAAAGCCCAACCACCAAACCCGCTACGTGCGCGCGGCGAGGTAAGCAAGCTGGCAGCAGTAGGTGCTGTGACACATAAGACAACAGCGTCCACAGTGTCGCGTCGCATTTTTTCGTTCAGTGAAAGTCGGCTCCTCCGAACCTGATGTTTTACAGCCCACGTTAGGCATGTCCGGTTCATGCACTGTGCACGTCATCGTAATTTTGCTGGAAAGCCGGGTCGCTTGCACGTCAGGCCTGGTGACTAGTTTGCCGCACCTCGAGGTTTGGTTCGGAGAAGCAGGTTGTTGGCTTGTGCACCAAATCAACTTTGATTTGTCTGGGCTGGTTAAATCGGAAAATCCCTATATTTTTTTCCGTTTATGAGGAAAGTTGAACTGAGCATTATAATTTCCCGTGTTATTCTTTAGTCGGTAAACAATAATGGAAGAGGAAAGAATTTTCATGCGCTCAAGAACAGCCCTCGCGCAAGGCGGACGAGTTGATGCTGGTTGGGCATCACCGCATCACGTCGGTGTGAGGGTGGGTTGGTGGCGTGGCCGGTGTTCGGTGGCACTGTGGCACTATAGTGTGGTGGTAAGGTGTTCGGCTGATCGCGATTCGCGATGTAGCAAACTTGCTTTTTGTGATGCACCTATTGGACCTCTTCTGACGTGGTCAACCTGCGTTGAGGGTTGTTGTTTCAGAACCGTACACCCCTCCCGCCTCACCCAAACCAACCACCAGGGCCCGATTCCCGAACAGGGCTATTGCTAGGATTTTTGCTAGCTCGGACGATCCGGGCCCCTGTGAAAAAGACCCTGTAAAATCCGAGCCAGCGGGAAAAAAACCTTGACGAATCCGGGTTCGAGCCAGAAAAGGCCTGAAAACATGCATTACCAGAATTTCGCGGGAAACTCACAGTGGGTTGCGCGAGGGCTGGGGAGATTGGAGATGGAGTGGCTCTGGAGGGGTGAGCGAGATACTTTTTGTAGACTTAGAAAAAAATACGATGAGGAAGAGTACATAGGGAGAACAGGGCAATCAGACACTCTCTCCTTATTGGCCTTCTAAGCCATGTCGACGTAGAACGGGGCAATCAGACACATGGAGGCCAACAAGGAGAGAGTGGTTAGGAAATTCACTAAAATTGGCCCAACGTGTGTTTAGAGGGAGACCGAGAGGAATGCAAGGCAGGTCGGGGAGAACATGTCTGCTAAAATTATACGGGTCCCCTTGAGAACTCCCCGGAGAGATCCGAGCTGACTCAAAAATCACCCTTCAGTTTTACGGGCTGGTCCGGAAAAAACCTTGTGAAAATCAGGGCTCCTAGAAAAAACACCCTATAATTTCAGTCAAAACAGGGTAATTGCCCTGATAACTTAGGCCCTGTTCCCGAACTATGCTTTACCACCCCACCATTTCCAGCACCTTTGCTCATTCCCGCCATCTTGGTTAGACCAAAGCTTCATTCCGTCGGAGTATCTTGTGAAAGTGAAACGCTCCGAATATTCGTCGACGAACTTACGCTTCTTGCGACAACGACCAACGCCACCTTCTAACGTTAAGGGTTTGGTTTCCAGTTATCAGTTTCCTCGTTTATTTATCTCAGTCTTTAGTGTAGTCCTGCCTCGCGCGATCGTGACATTGCCGCGCTATTAACGACGACGGTCGCTCATCAAGTCACAACAATGTCCACGCGGCTCGTGCTGTTGCTAGCAGGCGTATCGCTTCTCGCTCTGCTCTCAAGTGCGTACGAACACTTTCGAGGCGCCGCATGTTAAAATATTAAAAAACAACCCTACTTCTCGTTTCCGGCCTCAGTTAAATTAGCGTTTGCGTTTGCGTCACAGGGAACGAGCTTGTACGTGAAACGTATATTTTATCGTTTCGTTGAGCGAAAAGCGCGTCATGGAGTTGCCACTTATCATTTGTCGTTCGCCCTCATTCTGCCCTGTTCGTTGTATCCTCCATCTCTTGTTCGTCCCCCCTCGCTTTTCCTCATTGTCCTGCGGCCATTGTTCTTCCCCCCTTGTTCGTCCTCCAATGCTCAACCCCCCTTGTTCTGCCCCGTTGTTCTGCCCCCGTTGTCGTGCCCCCCTTGTCGTGGCCCCCTTGTCGTGCCGCCCCCTAATCGTGCCGCCCCCTATTCGTGGCCCCCTTTGACCTGTCGCCTCTGTCCCGCCTCCCTCGTTCCTAAACTCCCTCCCCTCCCCTCCCTCCCCTCCCCTCCCCTCCCTCCCCTCCCCTCCCCTCCCCTCCCCTCCCCTCCCCTCCCCTCCCCTCCCCTCCCCTCCCCTCCCCCCCTTCCCTCCCAGCCACGTGTATGAAGAAGTGTTTTGAGACGTCTCAAAACACTTCTTCATACATCGTTCCTAAACTCCCTCTCCTCCCCTCCCTTCTCTCCGAGCCACTCTCTCCCCCCGTCATCCGTTGAACCGTCCAATCAAAGTCCCTTGGAATCAACTTATCGCCCCCTGTCTCTTGTCCCTTGATTTTGTCGGCCTTATATCCCCGCACCGGCGTCACTGCTTCCTGCTGACCGTTCCATCCGCTCCTCTCTCCCCCGCGCTGCCGCTCCCACTTCTTAACACTCTCTCCCCTTCCTCTCCTCCTCTCTCCCCTTCCTCCTCTCTCCCTTCCCCCCTCCCTCCTCCCCTCCTATGCCTTCCCCTCCCCCCCTCCATCCCCCCCCAACTCCCTCCCACGGCCATCCCTCCCCCTCCCCAACATTCCTCATCTTCCGATCCTCATCGCCGTTCGCGTCGGGGCGTTTCTCTCCGCACCGCCATGGCCGCGTCGCCTCAACCGATCGCGTCGCGCGCACCTCTCTCTCTCTCCCGGCTCGCGTTTCTCGGCGCCGCCACCAACCAATTCGGCGCTTCCTTTGTCTGTGTCACCCATCCAGGCTTCCCGCTCGCAGAGGTGAGCGCTCTCTCCTGTCCTCTCCCCCTTTTTCCCTCCCTTTCCGCCCTCGCCTATCGCATCTCCCCCTGTCTGTCCGTGTCGTCGAACCAGGCTTCTCGCTCGCAGAGGTGAGCGCTCTCTTTTGCCCTCTCCCCCTTTGACCTCCCTTTTCCCCCTCGCCTATCGCATCTCCCTCTGTGTCTGTGTCGTCCGACCAGGCTTCTCGCTCGCAGAGGTTAGCAGTGTCTTCTGCCCCCTCCCCGTTTCCCCCTCGTCTATCGCATTTCCCCCCATTCCCTCGCCTATGGCCTTCCTTTCCGCCTATCCCCGCGCCTATGGCCTTCCTTTCTGCCTATCCCCGCGCCTATGGCCCTCCTTTCTGCCTATCCCCGCGCCTATGGCCCTCCTCTCCGCCTAACCCCTCGCCTATGGCCCTCCTCTCCGCCTATCCCCTCGCCTGTGGCCCTCGTTTCCGCCTATCCCCGCGCCTATAATCTACCCGCCTTCCCCCCATCCCATCCAGGTGAGCGCTCTCTTATCGCTTCTCCCCCCCTCCCCTCGCCTATGCCTCTCCGCTTATCTCCTCGCCAATCGCCCTTCTTTCGCCTATCCCTTCGCCTATCGCCCTTATTATTTCCCTTCCCCTGCCCATGTCCCTTGTTCC